AATATATTTTTGGTTACTATGTGATTCCATATGTGTTATTTCATAATTTTGATGTCTTCACTATTATTCTATGATGTAGAAAATAGTAAAAATAAAGAAAAACCCTGGAATGAGTAGGTGTGTCCAAACTTTTGACTGGTACTGTATATAAAAAAGTACTAAATAAATACTTAGATGGTTATAGACAGTAAATTGGTTCACAGTACCACAAGGTGTACAAGATACTCATTACCTTGACCTTCTTCAAAAAGGTAATGGATCTCCCATAAAATAATTGTTTTTACTTTATCACTCAAGAAAACACTGTATTACGATATGGCTTTAGTAAGGAGAACAAACCATGTCAGAAAGTCGGTTAGACGTTGTAGTCTGTCTTCCTCCGACGAGTCGACCAAGTTTGTACCTGTAAGCATCCACTAGCGGTCAGGCTGTTCAGAAAGAGAGCTCTTGGTTTAAAAACATGTTCAGGTTGATGTGAATTGGACTTAATCAAGCATGAATCTTTTTTTTCTTTTTTTATTGAGTTAATCAAGCATGACTCTTCACTGCCCCCCTACACTCTAACCATCCACTCCAACTGAGGGATATCACTCCATTACGTACACTCTCTCTTTAAATCAGTGTTGCACCTTCAAGATGATTGGAGGGCTACTCGATTGTGCTCTCACCTGTTCCAAGCATACCAGGGTTACCCTCCTTATATGTTTGAGATTTAACTCCATCTGTCATCACCAAAAATAAAAGCTCCATACTCAATTATATTTTTCATTATATTTTTTCTTCAACAACCATTTTACTGGTATGAAAATTCAGTCAATAGATGGGGGAACCCCCACGTCCATCTCCAGATTGCATTTAGTACGTGATACTTAGTTTAGCACCAGTAAACAGACATCACAGGTGCTTGAATGTCCTCTCCAGAGAGTAGAGGTACTTCAGCTTGCAGAGAGGAAGCAAAAAGAGAGGGAGAGAGAAAGATTGGAGCCATAACGAATTTACTGACAGATGTCCGTTTTGCCCCATGGGGTTTGAAAGCAGCAAGAGTGGGTGTCCCGTGAATATGACCTCATTGTGGATGTCACAGAGCAAATGGGACTAATGTAATAACGTAGGGGCAGATGCAGCAGGGCGCAATGTTCAGAACATTACAGAAATATAAATAGTAAAGTAATGTATACAGAGGGTATTGCTCTCTGTATTTCACATTATACTAGAGAACTCAGTTCTAGACATTATATTTCCTTATGACATGCCCCTGGCTTTTTCTACACGTTAACTGCCCAAACATCAATACAATAGCTGTTACAGCAAAACAGAGGCCTTGTTTTCTGAAAATAGAATCCTCGCTAAAAATTCCACAAATTTACAAAGAGAGAGAGGGAAATTCATATTCATATGCGGATAATATCTGGTTAGGCTAATCTGAATTTAATAACAAATTCTCACGTCTATCAAAGAGAACAGGCTACTTCTCAAAGCTGGCATCTGACTGTGTTTAAACTGGGTTAAACAGGATGAAAACTCATCAAGTAACGTATACCATTATTGTGTGTACACCGCCACATAATGCATTTGTAGTAGCGGAATAAACCAGCTTTAATGGATGGCAATCGGTGATGGTATGTTCTCTGTATACAGTATATTGTTATTTCATTTGCAGGTGACAGTTGTACCACAAAGAGGAGAACATCTGGTCATTAAGGACTATCTTCAGCTATGATTTCGCTCTCCAATTTTTGTCAACAGTGGGATAAATAATATTTTGAAAGAAAAATATTTGACAAAGTGTTAAATAGTACTGTAAATACTTCTAAGTTAAACAAGTGTGTGGTATTGATCACCCTCACTACCTCTGCAACCACACCTACAGTACATACTGCACCTCAGATTCCCTTTTGATAGAATAAGGTATCATCATAACACATTTCATGTGGTAATTATGACTGAATGTGTTTTTTGCATCAGTTCTGAATACTCTGTAAATCCATATTTGACAGTTTCCCCAACCTCTCACGAGCACATTTGTTTTTGAGTGGAGCCCCCAGGAGCAGAGAAACTGGAACATGCTGTGTCAAGTGCCGACAGAGAGCCAGAATGGTGCTGTGTCAGCCACAGAAAACGTGTGCTATTCCTGTAAATAATCCCTGTGGAGTGGAACGTCCTAAAACATTACCGGAGTCTGTATTGAAACATAAACACAGTCTTCCAGGGGACATCCGGCTGCTTAGGCCCCATTCTAAGGTGAACTATGAGCTGTCGTCACAAATGGACAGGCTACGGGGCCACACCCATTAATGTACAGGCCCGGCTTAACAAGGCTATTTATGTCTACATGTATAAAACTATCCTCTGACGCTAATTATACAGAGTGGCCAATCATGGGAGAGGTCAAGACACACCTCTTTTCCAATAAGTGTGGCCACTCACCCCTCGGTATTATGCAACCCTCACAGAGGACTTGAAGTGTAAAAAGGTCCCTTTGGGATGCATAGGAAGTCATTGGCATAGGAAGTCATTTATTGAATTATGTGCCCACTGCCTCTCCCTTTCTGCCCCGGAGGCTACTACCAGGTGCAATATGCTAATACTCCTCCAATCACTTTCAGCCAATGTGGTTGGGCATACACTTGGGGATATCAAAGAGGATAGGAATGTATCTATATTTTCTGTCTTTTTTTCGATGGACAGTGGTGAGGAGGAGGAGGAGGAGGAGGAGGAGGAGGAGGATAGGGGTTTCCTGTGGAGATGTTTCTTTGAGCGAGCGTCTCCCATTTCTGTATCCATCATCCTGCTCACTCGGAGGTCTGAGGGAAACAGGATGAAACATTACAAATGAGCTTGTCTGTGGCAGGCTGGCGTGGCTCCTCTGCTTCATTTAGCTGTGAAGAGAGAGAGGCCCATTCCGGTGCCCTGGGCCATGCATCAGGATCGGAGCCATGAAGCAGTGTGTGCATGTGTGTTGGACATGTCCTCCATCTGGCACAATCACTCCAACCAAGGCCAGAGATTCAGATCTATGATCATATCTCACCATTTTTCAATTTAGAGCGTGTCCATCTACAGTAATAGCGAACATTTGCATCACTCGGCAGCCGTCTGGATTGGTGTTTTGTCATCCATTACATCAACCTCTACTCAGTGATCAAAGTCAGAGATACCAATGCCATTTAATAAACAGGGAAAGACACTTAGAGCAACAACATAATATCAGTTACAGAGAAACTTAATGTAAAGAACAGATCTGATTCTCTGTCATGTGGAAGAGAGTTCCCATCTGTTCATTCTCTATCTATGTTACATTTCTATCTGCAATGCTATCAACATTGTTCTCAACTGAATAAGTGACCTTCACCTTGCACAAAAACACAACATCAACACAACAACACCAGCTGACTAGAAGCTTAATGTACAGAACAGACAAGATCCTCTGCCATCTGGAAAAGAGATTCATATCTATTCTATGCATTCCATGTCTATGTGTTCCCAACTGAACATGCCCCTGTGGTGTCAGCACAGAGGATAGCAGAGGACACGATTAGATGAGGTGGCTTGAGGCCGGTAAGACCGTGGGGGGATACAGTGCTCACTCAGGGGGTAGGAGGTTGTATGTGAGGGGGGTTGGGGCTATTCACTTCAGATGTCCTTGCCTTGAGGTTTCTCCCCATATAAATGTGCACATGTTACGAACGTCACGTTGCTTGCTTAGCGAGTACCACTTACCCGCAATAGTCGGCTCATACCTGGCTCGAACTCGGGACCTCTGCTTTGCTAACACACGCGACCGCCTTCCTTGACAACATTCCAATGGTTTGAGCCACCCAAAAGGTATTGGATGGGTCCATCCGCGACATTTCAAGCTAGCTGTATAGTTAGCTTAGGGTACGTTCTTAATACTGTACAATATTGTTGACCATGGAGGAAAAGCTAGCTGGATGATAAAACAATGTCATTGCGCAATGCACTCTCATATCCACACTCATGATAGTGTCAGTTGGAATGTCAGTGAGTGCAACATAATTGAATTGCTCTAAGTGCATTGTTGAGAGAAGACAATGATTATTTCTTGATATCATTAGGTTTTTAAATCTTATTTCATACGGAAACGCTGTGGAATGTAACATCAACCTCTGTGAGTGAGGATTGAATCAGATTGATTGATGGATGGCTTAATACAGGTAGAGCTGGCCATTGTTTTGACTAATGCTACAGTCATGGCAGATTCTGAAGAACATACACACAGAGGCAAGCATTAGGCCCAAATTCCTGTGGAAGCAAGATCTAGTTAGCTCAGCGTCAGCAGCTCCTAAATCATTCCAACCCTGGAGGGAAACACCTCACTACAGGTGAGGTGTTACTAGCTGCCGGTTTGGATCGAGGCACAGAGGGATTCAGGCCCGGCACTGAACCTGACAAAGCTGAAAGTGAGTAAAGACAGACCTGTAGTCCAGCCATGTCCAAATCAGACAGGGATAAATCAGGTCCAAAGCCTTTTTATACAGTATATGACTGAGGAAACAGAGGCAGGAGAGGCAGGAACATGGCTGCTGGGGGTTGTGCTCTCAGAACTGGAGTATGGTGCCCTCTAGTGCCAGACTTGGCTCTATTTATGATTATGGGATAAGCTATTTTGCAGATCTTAGAAAGTGGTTGTAATGTGATTAATACAGTAGGATTGATATCAAACTGGGGGGATGCCCTTGATTAATGTGTCGAATTTATTTTGTATTACCAGAGATAATCTTTTTCAGAATAAACGTAATTATTTCATAGGGAAATGTGAAGTCTGATCTCTTCCAAATCATATTCAAAACACCTGTTGAAGTAAAATACAGTGAGCATCTGAGAAGTTTGGGAAGTGTTCTCTCAGAGTTGTCTCTAGCTTTTGAATGTAAATATTTATACCCGCTCTCCCACAGAGATTAGCCTAGCGGTGCCAGCCAATCAGCAGCATCAACAGAGGGCTGTTCAGGTTTAATGTTTAAGCTCTGCTTCCCTCTCAGCTCGATCGCCTGCGATAACACAGCTGAGTCACCTGAGAGGGTCTGGCTGGGCCTGCTGTAGAGGCATCCATTTTGAGAATGGTTTCTGCCTCACAGCACTCAAACGTCTGCTAAACTCACAACTGGCCAGTGTGGAGTTTGCCCTTAGCAACAACAAGGTAAGCTGCCTACATTTTAAAGGATGTTTTTAACTTCCACATTACATTATATATATCCGATTTTTACCATAAAGAAAATCATCAAGGGATTTATTTAAGACTTTATTTGAAGGTTTTATGATGACAGATATACGTTTTGTGTAGACGTTAAGTGTACGTTTATTGTGAAGGAGCCAAAGGTCAGTTTTAAGTCTCTTTTGTGTTGTGTGTTGAGTAGCTGACTGTAAAGATGTAGGGTTTGGACCAGAAAGCAATTTTGTGAGTGACTTTGACTGCACAATGTGATAAATGAGTTTTCCTCAAACTCCTGTGAGTGGCTATTGTATGCTGCTTTCCTAGCGCTCTAAAAAAACAAAGTGTTTCACAAACATTCCACCATTTTCTTTCATTTTCTTTCTTAAGATCAAACATTCTTATGGAGCACTATTTACAGCTGACATATATGAGTATCTGTGCTACATCATAAAGGGGAGTGAGTAGAAAATGTCATGTAGGATTAATTGGTCGAAATGTTTGTCAATATCAACCATTATTAAAAGCAAAAATATACACAGCACACGTATTCAAAAATGTGAAATCCTTATTAAAATAGGCCTAACCCTGTTGTGTTTTTGCTCCTCTATGATTCACACAGTTCCTCTACAACAAGAAAATTAATATTTCTTCCATCCTCAATGATTAGCTAAACCCAGAGCCCCCTTACTGTATATCAGCCCATAGTATGAAAAACTGGAATAAGATATTCAAGAGAGGAGACCCGGAGAGTGTGGATGGGAACTCCTCTTTGAAGAAAAACTCCTTGAACAATGTCCCGCTAGAGCTAACACCTCAGAGGGCCTTAGAGGACGACCTTTCAGATGACGTAAACTCCACTGCCCACTCATCCAGCACTCCCCCATACGTACAAGGAGTGGGAGATGGTGGGGACGAGGGAACCCTTAAGGACAGGTTGAGAACTCTCCTCCCCCAATCATGGGGCAGTATTCTCCAGAAATGGAGCAAGGGTGATGCTGACTCTGACCTGGGCTCCACAGGGGTCAAGATTGTGCCCAATGGGACCAGGGTGAGTCCACCTGTCAGTCCCATACTGGAGAGGAGGTACTGGGACACTCAGGACTCACTGGGGACCTCCAGCAAGAGTTCTCATAGGCCCTTGTTGAGGGACATTCCTATAGACAATGACCTACTCCATTATCTTCCAGAGGAATCAGAGCTGACCAGTATCCATCCAGCTGAGTACTATGCTGAGAAGGTGGAGGTCTACAAGCTGAAATACTCCTATATGAAATCCTGGCCTGGGTTATTGAGACTCCTGGCTGGGTTTGAGCTTCTCTTTGGGGGTATGGTCCTCGCCTGTGTCTGTGCTTCCATCCATAAGGACAGTGAGTGGTCGAACGCCTATGGACTGTACAATGGTGCGTATAACAATGGATATGGCACATCGGGGTACTCCTATAATGGACCTATGACTCCATTCGTGCTAGCAGTGGTTGGGGTGGCGTGGATTGTAACCATCCTCCTACTGGTAATAGGGATGACTATGTACTACCGCACCATCCTCCTGGACTCACCCTGGTGGCCTCTCACTGAAGGCATCATCAACGTTGCCCTGTTCCTCCTCTACATGGCTGCTGGTATCGTGTACCTGAATGATCTCAACCGTGGGGGGTTGTGTTACATGACTATAGGTATTAACCCCATAATGTCCAGCCTGTGTCGGGTGGACGGGGGCCAGATGGCTGGCACGGCCTTCATCTTCATCAACATGCTGATGTACCTCATCAGCTTCCTGGTGTGTCTGAAGATGTGGAGGCACGAGGCCGCCCGCAGGGAGGTGGAGTTCTTTGAGAACCAGGTGGGTGGTTGGATTTTTTTTTAAATCCCAGTGCTCACTGATCCTCTATCATCTTTTGTGTATTTATTTTGTATAATTTTGTTTTGTCATTTAGCAGACACTCATCTCACCATTCAAGTGAGGTAAATCTAGTGTATTAATCTAATGTCTAGTGTATTAATCTAATCTGACACTCTCTACGTTGCCCTTTCCTCTGACTGAGGTATGAAACTTATTACTGCAGGAACCTGACTCATGGTATTTCTATTGCCCATTGGCATCTGAAAGTTGTTGTGGGAATGGTGTCAGATCAAACAGTTCTTAGAGGTAATGGAAAGTACCATTATGACTGGGAATGAGCCAACAATGCCTAGGGTCTCAAAACAATGGCAGTGAAACTACTACTGATGTATAGTATGTAAGCATGGATCAATCAGCACTTAGAGGTCATGGAAAGTACCATTATGACTGGGAATGAGCCAACAATACATTGGGTCTCAAAACAGCAGCAGTGAAACTACTCATGTGGATACGTATGGGGACACCATTGTTTCATATAGCACTGCCGCTGGCTGTTACAGCCCAAGTTTATTACTGTTTGTAAATGGAGTCCAGCTTTATCAATTCTAGCAGCAACCAACTAAAGGTAAAGAACAACAGAGTTAATGTATTTCATGCCAGATAAGCACAGGCGGAAGGCGAGGAGCAAAAACAGTGATTGCGTCATTCAGCTGAGCTAATGTAGCCAAATAAGCTTAGTTTACCAACTGAAGACATATAGGAACATTATGATTCTCTACCATACGTTTTGCATATCTGGAGGGAGACCGTTAAAAGGATTAATTTAGATAAAGCTGAACAATTGTCATACAGCTAAATACATAGATAACTTCACACAGTTGCAGTTACTGTAGAGTAGGGATGGGCAACTTTTTACTGTAGAGCAGGTGGGGGACACAAAAAGGGGGGCCGAAGTGGCTCGCGGGTCTGAGTACCCACATGTGCAGTTTACAGCTAGTTTCCTGCAATTCTACACATTTTTGCCATAGGGTGGAGATCACAGGAGGCTGCTGAGGGGAGGACGGCTCATATTAATGACTGGAACGGCGCAAATGGAATGGCATCAAACACATGGAAACCATGTATTTGATACCATTCCACTAATTCGGCTCCAGTCATTACCACGAGCCCATTCTCCCCAATTAAGGTGCCACCAACCTCCTGTGGTGGAGATTTTATTTAGCAGTTTTTAATATGATATCTGAGTGAGAGTGACTATAGCAAAATCAATGGGGGTCCGCCGGTCAGTAATTCGACCATGATTCCTACAAGTTTAGTTTGCTGGCAAGACTAACTTACCAATCTTCTATTTTTTTTGCTGACATGGGCTAATTGAGCGACTGTCAGTCAGTGACTTACATAAGAAAAAAACTGCTGATGCACAACATTTCAAAATTGCACCTTGTGTATTGTACTATTCTAACTCTCAACTGTAAGTTGAGACCCCGACTGAATTCCTGCGGGCTGCCAGTTGCCCATCCCTACTGTAGAGTGATCACTTACGAATGAGGCAGGTTTCTTTCACCCTTTCAGCACAAGTGTACATGTGTCATTGGATGCTCTGGTAGCCTATATACTTTGAGTTGCTGCATGATACCCTATGCTTCAACTTTGGCTTCAGGAGCATCTGAGGCCCATCCCTGTGGCCCAGATCAAATCTCCCAATCCCCAGACCAAGAGGATTGTGTTTGAGGATGAGATGGACAGCTCAGTGAGGGCAACCAAACTCCTCCACATCACAGACTTTCAGCAAGAGGAGCCAGGCAGCCGTAACAGAGCCAACCCCACAGGGTACGCCCAGAAGTCCAGAGTCATCGCAGACTATGTCATGTGAGTGAGAGGATCTATGCCTAATATCCTGATACAGATTTTGAGCAAGGATGTTAAGCTGAGGTGCATATGAAGAGACAGAATCAATGGTATTAGTGACTTTTAAAATGACATGGAGTGCTCGTATTTTGTTTAATTGTATTAGGCTAGGTGTAATAATGGTATGGTAGGTAATAATACATTAGCATTATCTAACATAGTCTTGTGTCTTGTCTTATTCCTAAAGGAAGTATCCAGAAATCTCCTCTTTGGAGGATAGGGAGAAATACAAAGCTGTCTTTAACGACCAGTATCAGGAGTACAAAGACCTTCACAAAGACATCAGTGACACCCTCATGAAGTTCAGAGAGCTGGATGCCATGATGGGTAAACTCCTCAAAGATGGCAATAGTCATGAGGTGAGTGATTTCATCTACCACTTTAAATCTGGGCCTGAGCCTTGATGGTGATTTCGATATCTCACTATGATAAGATACACCACAATACTTTCCTCTATCTGGAAGTGTAACTACACTTGAACTCAATATAATGAGCATTTTTGTAATCTCATTGTCACAGTCACTGATCAATAAGAGGTACATTACATTCCATGTACTGCACAAAGGCTTCCACTAAAAATAGCATGTGTCATCTGCATGATACTATTTTTAAACATAAATATCTGTCATCCTTTTAACCAATTGAATTGTGGGTGTTTGTTCTGTCCATCATGTAGGAGCAGAAGAGAATCCAGCGGATTTTGAAGAAGTACGAGCAAAAAAAGACTGTAAGTGATCGACAGAGGTCCCTAACATTCCTCTCACATTTCCTCGCTCATGCTGAAACAATTCCAAAATCATTCAGCAATCATTTTAACATTTAACTGAGATTTATTAGAATTGTTACTGTTGTGTAAACACCCAGGTAATATTATATTTTTTCAATAAAGCTGCACATTCATGTAAATAATATTGCTACCACTTTGAAATGGGGCCTCTGGAAATTCTAATTTACCACATCTACATTACAAAAAAATCTGGGGCTATGTGGGAAAGAGGTGGAGTGATGGAGCTGCAGTCGACACGATGTGTGTTTCTGTGTGACTTCACAGGACCCTGCCTTCCTGGAGAAGAAGGAACGATGTGACAATCTGAAAGCTAAATTAAACCACATCAAGAACAGGATCCGCAATTTCGACCAAGACACCATGGCAAAGGGTAGGACGTGAAGAAACAGCACGTACACTGAGGGAACAAAGGGGCCATTATTATTCTGTTCCTGTCACGTCTTTTATTGTCTTCTCTGTGAGTTTATGTCTGCACTAATTGTGTTTGTGGTGTGTTACTTATGTAGGTTTCAGTAAATATCTGTACAAATCAGTAAACTGTGTGTTGTTACACTATAGCCTACAACAGTTTTTGTACTACTGTAAAGATTACTTTCCCAGGAATATTGTGTGTGAGTTTCAGTCATTAAGTGAATGAACTCATAAACGGAGCGCAATTCTATACATACCTTTGGACTTTTGTGGACAATGCTAACGCGATAAATTCCCATTGTATCGACTAACATTGCATTTACACTTGTAGGCCTACAGGGCAATACACTATCAAATCTTTGGAGAGTTTTTCATATGAAATTTAAATGCTAAAAAGGGCAGTCGAGTACCAACAATCAATTTCAAGCTATAATACAGTAAACTAATGACATGCCCCAGCTAGCACATTTGGTTCCTTGGAAGTTGTGGGAATGTATGTTTTTGGTTTCACATTGGCTGTGGGAACGAAGCCATACATTTCCTGACCAGTAAAACTGAAGGTTTTTTAAAAAGCTCTGAGAACAGAAGTGACAATTTCGCCTGTTCTGGGAACGTTTAGTTTTAGGTTGCAGGGAGGTTCTGAGAACGTTTTACCCTGGTTCCTTGAATGTTTTCGTAGGAGGTTTTATTAACGCTCTGATAATGGAAATTATAGGTTAATTGGAGGGTTTTAATTAACTTCCTTAAAACTTTCACTGAATGTTTCAATAAGACTTTGAATAACACTGCTAGCTTATTTTGGGTTAACCTTTTTTTAACTCCAAGCACAGATAGGACACATGGAAAGGCATTAATCGTGCAAACACATTTCTTTTTTATTGTGACACAGCATCAATGAGATTCAAACCTATAATCAATCCATGGAATAAGTCCACTGCGCCACCAGGATGGAGATAGCATGCCATGTTTTTTTACGCATACAAGGCTGTTCCTTTTAGTCTATTCAAAGGGACCCCATTTCAAAGGAAACAAGCACTCATTAAGATCAGGTGTGGCCAATTAGTGGGGACGGCCAACAGACCTGAACACACTTAACAAGATAGAGGATAGAGAGTTTTGTTGATACTGAGAACAGAATGTATATGTTTTTAAATAACATTCTTAGAACGTTCACTGAACGTTACAAAAGTTTTATTGTGTTTTTTTATGGAACGTTTTCTTAACGTTCTCTGAACAATTTGAGAACATAACTTCAAATAGAACCATGTGGAAACCTGTAGAAAATGTTATGCTGAAGTACTGAAATTCTCACAGAGGAACATTGTTTCTTAACATTCTTGGAACAATTTGAGAACATGGCTTTAAATAGAACCATGAGGAAACCTGTAGGAAACATTATGCTGAAGTACTAAAATCCCACAGAAGAACATTTTTTCTTAATATTCTCTGAACTATTTGAGAATATTCCCAATGTCAAACCAGTTGGAGAATGTTCCTAGAACATTACCAACATTTTAATTAAATGTAACAATTTTTTAAATTTTAGGAAAGGTTCTGTTAAAGTAATAAGTATTGTGTTCATTTGTAGCTCAGTTGGTAGAGCATGGGTAGTGGGTTGAATTCCCGGGACCACCCATATGTAAAAGATATGTACGCATTAGTGTAAGTCACTTAGGATAAATGCATCTGCTAAATGGCTTATATTATTAATGAAATATCAAGAAAATAACCTTTGTCAAGTTCCTTAAATGTGCTGAGAATGCTCCAAAGCCAAGCAACTATCCTGCACCATTCACAGAAAGTTGTGGGAGGTTGTATGCAAAATAACTATAGGACAACCAAGCTCTAAGAAACATATGGTTCTCAGAACGTTATGTGCTAGCTGGGGAAAGAAGAATGGATGTATAAACATTTATTTGAGCAACTTTCTTTTTTGTTGTTAATAAAAATCTATTAATGTCAAGAGTTATGCAGCTAGCCTATACAGCAGGTGCAAATTACAACATCTTCCAGAAGTGTCATATCTCTCCTCCACCTTTACATATCTCTCCACATTTTGAAGGAGCGAGCGATCGTTTTGGAGCATTCACAAGAGAAGGTAGGGTGCACATTCTTGTAGTTACGGCTTGTAACGCCAATATGTGATGACTCCAAAGTTGCTAACGGAAAACGCTGCATTATATTTTTCAACTAACCTAGTCTTGGCAATACTTTCTTAATTCTCAATTCAGGGAAAAAAGTGTATCTTATAAATGTCCGTGTCCAGTTGCAGGGGGTTCTACAAAAAATCCATTAAATCCATGTTTTGTACCGCGTGAGGATGTTCCCCGCCATCATCCTCGCATCATCCTCGCACATGACACAATTTGCATTTCCGAGCATTTTTGCAGGAACTAGTCATTTCTATGTGACGCGACCTCGGCCATGTGGATTGAATGTTTTTCGGAATATTCCCTGATTTTTGGAGTACCACCTCTAACTGCACACAGACATTTATAAGACACAAGTTTATTCTAAATCAAGAAACAAAGGAAGTATCGCCAAGTTTAAAGGTCAGCTGAAAATATCCTGAATATGGCTAAATAGCAGCCTATGCACATCCTCAAGACAGCTCTGCTGCTGAGGTTTGTGTTTACATGGTTAACGATTTTGATAGTTTGAGGAGATGTATATGCGTAAGGAATAGATGATAGCTTCGGAATGTATATTCAAAGTGAGAATACCTGTAATGTTAAACTTTGAAAAGAAATTCTTAACTTAGAAAATTTAACAATGTGATAATGCAAGAAGAAACATGTCATTACAGATATTTCAGGTAAGTGAACGTTATCAGTTTGCACGACAATTTTTTTTGCTTGGTGATACAGAATTTGGAATGTTATTTAATAACTCCACCTGTAGGAGGTCACGTGATGCAGCGAAGCTAGGAAGAAGCGTGACTGAGACCTCCCGATAAATCTTTAACAAACTTATCCTAAAACCTCATAACTTCACCCATACTGATTACCACTGTAGCCAAGAGTGGTGATATGCCCACGAGACAAAACAAAGACAAGGGAAGCACCGAAACGATGGAGAAAGAACCTCTTGAGGGAGCATGCAATTGGCAAGCTGACTGCAGGAATTTCCACCAGAGCTGTTGCCAGAAAATGTAATGTTAATTTCTCTACCATAAGCCACCTCCAACGTCGTTTTAGAGTATTTGGCAGTACGTCCAACCGGCCTTACAACTGCAGACCATGTGTAACCACGCCATCCCAGGACCTCCACATTCGGCTTCTTCACCTGCGGGATCGTCTGAGGAGGGGGGGTGCTGATGAGTATTTCTGTCTGTAATAAAGCCCTTTTGTGGGGAAAAACTCATTCTGATTGGCTGGGCCTAGCTCCCCAGTAGGTGGGCCTGGCTTCAAAGTGGGTTATTTATTTAAATTGATGGATTTCCTTTTATGAACTGTAACTCAGTAAAATATTTTTAATTGTATATTTTAGCTATATTTTAAAGACTAGCTAGTTCCTGAATATTCAACAGTTTATGTCAAACTACTTTGTGCCCCTGCCTGTTTATTGGTGACTGAAAGTTGGCAAGAAAAATGCCCCTCCTAATTTCACTGCAAATAGGCTGTGTTGTTTTCATATAGTCAGGCTTGTGCACATTTACATGTGTGTTTCATTACCTGGAGCAGGTTGAGAGCTTCAAGTTCCTTGGTGTCCACATCACCAACAAACTATCATGGTCCAAACACACCAAGACAGTCGTGAAGAGGGCACGACAAAGCCTATTCCCCCTCAGGAGACTGAAAATATTTGGCATGGGTCCTCAGATCCTCAGATCCCCAAGCTTCTTGCCATCCAGGACCTTTATACCAGGCGGTGTCAGAGGAAGGCCCTAAAAATTGTCAAAGACTCCAGCCACCCTGGTCATAGACTGTTCTCTCTGCTACCGCACGGCAAGCGGTACCGGAGCGCCAAGTCTAGGTCCAAAAGGCTTCTTAACAGCTTCTACCCCCAAGCCATAAGACTCCTACCCGGACTATTTGCATTGTGTCCCCCCCCACCCCTTTTACGCTGCTGCTACTCTCTGTTTGCTATCTATGCATAGTCACTTTAACTATACCTACATGTACATATTTCCGCAATTACCTCGACTAACCGGTGCCCTCGCACATTGACTCTGTACCGGTACCCCCTGTATATAGCCTCGCTACTGTTATTTTTACTGTTATTTTACTGCTTTAATTTTTGTACTTATCTATTGTTTACTTAACACTTATTTCTCTTAAAACTGCATTGTTGGTTAGGTCTTGTAAGTAAGCATTTCACTGTAAGGTCTACACCTGTTGTATTCGCCGCATGTGACAAATACAATTTGATTTGATTTAGTTAGCTAAGTTACTGACTGACTAAGCTAATTCTTATTCATGTTTTTGTTGCATTTCAGGTGGAGTGGCATTGCTGACAGGCCAGCATGTTGATAGGCCAGGGCCCATATTCACAAAGAATCTGAGAGTAGGAGTATTGATTTTAGGATCAGTTTTGCCTTCACACTGAGTACAATTACATTGACAAGGGGGAGGTTATTCTTGATCACTATCCCTACTCTGAGACAGTTTGTGAATATGGGCCCTGGAAGAAAGCTGTTACCCAATACTTTGCACAGTAGTTGCTACACCACAGAACCCTCGAGGAGGGGTAGGCAACCATGTTCCTGGAGTGCTGCAGGGGTGCGTTCAGTTCGTTTGAACGTTTTACATGTTGCGGAACGGTTTGTACTGAATGACACATTTTCCCAAAACGTTCTTGAACAGACTTTGAGCTACGTTTGCTCCGTTCAGTGGGTGTGCCGGGGTGTGGCTTGAAGCAACGAGTGACGTATTTTAAGGTGCATTTTGAACCCACAACCCAATACTTCCCTGTTTTTCAACTGGTCGTTCAGTACAGCACCGCTTCCGTTCAATTGAACGTTCTATCACTGAGCTAATGGATCAGTTCAGTAATTGCCTAAATTCAACACACCTGGTCTTCCAGATCGGTTGAATCAAAAACATGGAGAACTCCAGGACCAGGGTTGCCTACCCCTATTAGTCAATGCTAATTAACTGAATATTGTATGTGAATTTCCATATATCAATGACACTTACAAAATAATTGAATTGTTCAACATGTGCAGTAAAACTTAACACGGCTTTGGCGATGAAAGGTACATAATGCATTGTCATCAGGCCACTGCATGCTGTGACATGGGCCTGTATGGTGACACATCTTCAAGCTGCCTGACTGAATACTGGGGCCTTCAGTGGTACCGGAAGGAAGGGCCTTACCTGGGAGCACAGCAACACTCTTTCTCTCTCTGTCTCACAGCCATTCTGTCAACC